CTGACTTTAACCTCAGAATTATGACTTTAATCTCAGAATTATGACTTTAATCTCAGAATTATGACCTTTTTTACTCATATTATAATGAAATTAAATTTAAAAATCAGTTAAATTTTATTTTTTCAGGGGCCCTAATCCATAAATATCAGCATAGCACTAATAAAGCTTTTCTTTAAAGGCTCTAGAGCTGGGCTGTCCATCTGCAAGAAAAATCCAAATTAGATCCATCGGCAAATAGTAGATAGTCTTTTAGATTTTTAAGGAAGTGATAAATGTGTACATTTCTTTCTTTATTTTTTGCTTTAATTGTGATGCTGCTATAGAATGGGGTGAAAAACAAACCAATTCATTAAACTTAACTAAACACAGTTGGGGTTTTTGCAGAAAGTCATGTCTGTCTCTTGAGAGATTTCAACCTGGTGATTTGCAGCACGAGTTGCCAAAAGTTTAGAAATTGCAGCTTAAAATGTTTTATTTTTATTTTTTGGGAGCATCATGAAGACCAAGGAACACAGAAGACGTGTCAGTGGGAATGTTTTGTATAAAAGCTGTATCCTCAGGCTTTGGACGTCCGTAGAGCTCTTGTTTAATCCGTCGTCTGAATGTGGAAAGAGGAACTGGAAACATTCAAAGATGGTGGCACCACAGAAACTGACATAGACTCATTAGAGATGCAGCTTAGAGACCTGTGGTTACTTTTGGGGATCTGCAGAGATTTACACCTCAGGTGGAAACATCTTTCTACACGACAGCTATTAGTTCTGTTCTCCACGTGTCTGTTGTTCGTGGAAGAGTCCCTTCCCTTTAAGGATGGATTAAATGCAGGAGACACATTTTGTTGTAATGCACCAAAGCGATGATTATGATGGATGGAGGATAAGCGTCTTTTTGCTGATGCAATCAGTGAGAGATTTTCTTTATATTGTCCATCCATAGGAGGTGGAAAGTCAGAAAAGACCTTTTGAGAACTTTTTTAACTTCTGTGCAAATTAGGGCTGAAGCAATAAATTGGATTCATCTCGATTAAATATTATTGAAATAATCGTGAACTAATCTAGTAATCTATTAATCATTAACTGGAGTTTAAAGACTCTAAAACATGCCTGTAGCTGACAGAGAACCCCAATTAGAGCAGCAACTACACCAAAGTTGTTAAAAAAAACATTGTTTTTAATTTAAGAGAAAAAAATATTTAAATCTTTCTATATGTTCTATCCAGAACACCTCAAGTGGAAAAGTTTGAGTTTCGCCTGGTTGAATTACTTTGAAAATCTTCTTTAGGGAAACTTTTGCTATCTGATTATTAATTGAAAAAATAATCTACAGATTAATCGATTTGCTAAATTATCGTCGGTTGCAGCCCTGGTCCTCATGAAAAGTTGAAGTACAGGATAATAATCCATAATCCTCACATGGGGATTGTTGGTTTATCATGATGTAGAGATGTTTCTTTTCAGCAGAGACAACGTTGGTTTATGGATGGGTTTGAATATAAATAAAATTCTAGAAAAAAATCTACTAGAAGTGGCTTTTGGCCAAAAGCCCCAAATCGGCAGCAAGAAATGCGCCGGATCGGTTTGTGTATAATGACGGCCTAGTCAAAGACCAAATCTAATCCCAGGTGATAATCTAGGGCTTCAAAACTATGGAGGATAAAAAGTGCCAAAATTA